ATTAATATTAAAAATAAAAATGTAATAATTACTTAATGTTATTAAAAAATTAAAATTAAAATTAATTAGGTAAATATTAATTAAAAATCATGGTAAAAAATTAAAAATTAAAATGAATAAATTTCTCAATAAAATTAAAAATTTTCAATCTCCTAGTAATTTAAATCCTAAGCACTATCCATTAGTTTTAAACTATTAAAAAAAATTTTATCAAATATCTAATTTTACAATAATTTCAAGATAAATAAATTTATTAAATATTTATTTTTAACAATTTAGACAAAACCAATAATAAATATCTTAAACTATTATACCAAATAGTTCTTAAACAACTACTAATAGTATTTAAAAATATAAATTTATAAATTAATTTTAATTTATTAAATAATTAATATTAACTATTTTATTAATTATTAATTATTTTTAATTACCGAATTAAAATAAAATTTTGACAATTTTAACCAAATTAACATGCACCCTTGGCATCCCTTAATTTATCGAATCATCAACGAGCTCAACAGGCAGTCCGGCTTCTATGCTCCTTATTCCCCATTTTTTCCTTTTTTCTTTTTTTAATATTTTAAGTTATATAATAAAATGTAACTTGCCCCAATTTCTAAACTCAATGTCGTTATACATATAAAATGACTCAAATTCAAACTCTCCACTGACTTACCTGGTTGATTTATTCTCTTTAATTCTTCTTTCCAATTTCTGATTCTATCAGCCGTTTTTCAATCTTCGCCGCCGGGAAGCAAATTCAACACATGCTTGCTCTGTGCCGCAGTTCCCGCCAAATTCCTCTTCCATACCGCTCGCCAGTTGCCGTTCGTCCCATCATCTTGGTCCTGTGAGTATTCCCTTCCCCATTTTGCTCTTCATTGTTCTGGGTAATTTGAGAATTGTAATGGGTCCTAACTACACAGGGATTTATCAAGGAATTTTAATTATTGAGAAACCCACTTTTTTATGTATATATGTTACAATCAGGCTAACTCCGGCTCAGATTTTATGCAAGTCAAGCCCTCTCCTGCAATTTTTGAGTGTTGGTCTTAAAATTTGAAGATTCAAACTATTCTACAAAAGGACACTTAATTAACACTAACGTATCAATTTTGGGGTTTGGAAAAACCCACTTAATACTTGTTTAATGACTACATTCTGCCCAAAGCCAATACAGAAATTCAGCAATTACTAAGAACTCCAACAAGTCTGATGAGGATTCAATTTAGGTTCAATGATTCTGCATCTGCTCTGTAGAAGCAGAAATTTTTTGTTGGACAGAATGTTTTCTTTCAATGCAAATGATAGTCAAAACAGGACCAAGACGGATCCAACCTCGGATCGTTTTTATTGAAACATTTCATAACTCTTCCTGACTAGCTGCTTCTTAATTTATTCTACGGTATTAATTAATTAATTGCAATGTGTTTTCATATGAGTTCCCTACTTGTGTAAATTGTATTGGATTATTTCTAATGTCAAAGATCTATCTTCATTTAATAATATAAGTTGTTCAATTTAGACTACACAATACTTTTTTTTGTTATCTTATTCTACACATATCCCTTATATTTGTTTGGTGAAGGCGGAGGTGAAGGAGCAAGCAATACACGATGCTCTTAGCTGCATCAAGAAAGATTTAGTAGATGCCAACGTGGTGTGTGGAAAATGCACTTCTTACAATGTCACAATTAACAAGACA